AACTATGGTGGTAGGTTTTTTGAAGTAGGAAATAGGCAAATTTAAATTAACAAGAGATTTCAATAAAACTCCAAGGGCAAATATGACTTTATCCCAGAGAAGACCTTGAAAATAATCTAATAATAAAACTGAACTAGTGAAAAATATTGAATATATGAAGTTCAACAAAACTGTCATTAAAGTTGACATCTTAAAACCATGTATGTGTGCCTTAAGATTATACCTAACATCTATTTAGAAAGTCAGTTATCTTTATTTCTAAAAAGTATCATTTAACATATTTACAAATGCTATTACTTACAAAAGGCTTTACACCATTTGTCTACATTTCCTCAAACAACAAATACAAAAGGCAGTAAATATGATTTTTCAGCAGAGGAAATGTAAGTAGAGGGAGGTCAAGTGACATATGCAGGGTTATGTGACTTAAGAAAATCAAGAATCTGAAGCTCTAGGACTGGGATATTATTAGCCCATGTCTTAATCCTATAAGTCATGGTTTCTGCCTCTGTGAGTGATGATGATTTAAACTACACCAAAAGGGCTATAATTCAGGAAGGTTGTCCAAATGTTCTTGCTTTAAAGGCTTGGGGGATAGAGGGAAAATAATTTTTCTGAAATTGAAACATATCACACATCAAGTCTTCTTATCATAGTCCAACCATTTATAAGCGCTCATCTTCCAAGAGTTGTTAACTTTTGTTGAAGAAATCCAGGACATTCCGTCATAAGAGAAAATTTATTATTTTTACTTAGAAGGGCTAGAGCAAGCAAAAATGGGTAATTGTTTGAGTTTAAGACAGCACTTTCAAAAACCAAACAAAAACTATACAACAGCCAAAGCAACACCACTACCTACAATTTCACCATTAGAGACACATTTATTTGAATTTTAAATATTTGTGGTTGTATTGAGTGTCAACTATACACTAAATGTATTCCTAGACCTTTTGAATATACTACCCTCATATTTCTCTAAAGAAAATATTTTCAATTTATATATGTTGAAAATAAGGCATACAGAGGTTATTTGGTGTGCCTAAGGCCACAAAATCCCATGTCTATAAAAATGTCCATGAACATTTTCCAGATCAAGATGGTGGAGTAGAAGGATGTGTGCTCATCTCCTCCTGCAAAAGCACCAAAGTTGCAAATAGTTGTTGAATAATCATCAACAGAAGGACACTGGAACACACCAAAAAAATGATACCTTGTGTCCAAAGACAAAGAAGAAGCTGCAGCAAGACTGAAGAGAGGCACTATCATGATACAACCAAATCCCATAGCTGCCAGGTAGGTGACTCACAGACCAGAAGACTGAAGAACAATAATATCAAAGAACGATCTTAAATGTTCCAAACCCCACATCAGGCTTCTCAGCCTGGGGACCCGACAAAGGGACTGGGAATCTCCAGGGAATCTGGCCTTGAGGGTCAGCAGGATTTGATTACAGGCCTTCTAAAGGACTGAGGGAAACAGAGACTCCAGGCTTGGAGGGCACAAACAAAATTTTTCATGATCCAAGACCCAGAGGAGAGGAGTAGTACCCCACAGGAGACAGAACCAAAACTACTTGCTAATGTTTGAAAGCCTCCTGTGGAAGCATGGGTTGACAGGGGCTCACCACAGGGATACAGGCATTGGAAGGTCCCCATTGGCATAAACCCTCTTGGAGTTCACCATTAACCCTGCAATAGACCCAGCCCTGGGTCTGGATCGCCTCAGACCAAGCAACTACCAGGGAGGGAATGCAGCCCCACCCATCAGGAGATAGTTGGTTTAAAGATTTGCTGAGTAAGGCCCTGCCTACTAGATAACCTCATCCATCAGAGGGCAGACAGAAGAAACCAGAAGCACAGTCTAACAGCAGCTAAAACAAAAACCATATTACAGAAAGTTAATCATGATAAAAAAGCAGACAGTTATGTCCCAGATGAAGGGGCAAGATAAAATTCCAGGAAAACAACTAAATGAAGTGGAGATGGGCAAACTTCCAGAAAAAGAATTCAGAATAATGATAGTGAAGATGAGTCAGGATCTCGGGAAAAGAATGGAGGTGAAGACTGAGAAGATGCAAAAAATGTTTACCAAAGACCTAGAAGAAGTTAAGAACAAACAAACCGGGAACAACAACACACTAGAAGGAATCAATAGCAGAATAACTGAGGCAGAAAAACAGATAAATGAACTGGAGGACAAAACAGTAGAAATCACTGCCACAAACCAGAATATAGAAAAAAGAATGAAAAGAAATGAAGACATCCTAAGAGATCTCTGGGTCAACATTAAATGCTCCAACATTTGTATTATAGGGGTCCCAGAAGGAGACAAGAGAGGGAAAGAACCTGAAAAAATATTTGAAGAGATAATAGCTGAAAATTTCCTGAATATGGGAAAGGAAATAGTCAACCAAGTGCAGGAGGCACAGGGCGTCCCAGGCAGGAAAAACCCGAGGAGGACACACCAAGGCACATAGTAATCAAACAGAAAAAATTGTAGACAAAGATAAAATATTAAAAGCAAGAAGGGGAAAATGGCCAATAACATACAAAGGAAGTCCCATCAGGCTGCCAGCTGATTTCTCAACAGAAACTCTATAAGCAGGAAGGGAATGGCATGATATATTTAAAGTGATGAAAGAGAAGAACCTACAACCAAGAATATTCTACCCAGCAAGACTCTCTTTCAGATTTGATGGAGAAATCAAAAGCTTTTCAGACAAGCAAAAGTTAAGAGAATTCAGCACCACCAAACCAGCTCTACAACAAATGCTAAAGGAACTTCTCTAGACAGGAAACACAAGAGAAGGAAAAAACCTACAGAAAATAAACCCAAAACAATCAAGAAAATGGTAATAAAGTCATACATATGGATAATTACTTTATGTAAATGGATTAAATACAACAACCAAAAGATATAGACTGACTGGGTAGAGGAAAACATCCACGTACACACACTTACCACATCACACTGCTTGCCCTCCCCCAAATTGTATGCAATTATTTTATATTGTTATGTTAATCATGTTCTCATTATGGCTTGCAATTGTAATTATCTTTTGTTTTTTGTCTGGCTATTGACTGTAAAAACTGGTAAACATCTTTTACTATCGTGATTACGTAAATATTACTCATTTAATACCATTATATCATGATTGGTCAACAGAAAAATAATAGAACTCTATATCGCCAAAACTAGGACCTAATAGAAAAATCTATAATCACTTTTTAAAATCCAGAAGCAAAAAAATAAATAAATAAAATAAATAAAATAAAATCCAGAAGCATATCAGAATTATCTTCAAATTTTTTGAAAAATACAAATGCTCAGGTATTGCTTTTTTCTCCAGAGCTCCAGATGTTTCTAATGAGCATTCATATTTAAAAACAATTGGACTATATGATGATCTTTTACTTTTATCTAGTTTTTTCACTTTTTCTATTTCATTTTCAGCGCTCCCATTTCATTTAGTTTATGTTCTCCAATTTATCCATCTCTTTTTTGTGTGTGTTCTTTCTCAGGTCTTTATCAAGTGTAGCAGAAAAGCTTTTGTATACATATATATAAATATATATAATATATATTTTAAAAAACATGAATTTTTGCCTAACTAAAAAAATTATGACAGCTTGATTCCACTTGTTTGTCTTAGCATGAATAGAATGTTAGATTTCTAATTATGAAATAGATATGCAACAAGCAACAAAGGTTTACTTTACTATAGGGAACTATAGTCAACATCTTGTAATAACATGATGGAAATTAATTTCAAAAGTAATATATGTGTATTTGTATAACTGCATCACCTTGCTGTGCACATGAAACATTGTAAGTCAACAATACTTCAATAAAATATATATACTTAAAGAGAAAAAAATATTTTTAATGTCCATGAAGAGTTTTATTCCTTCTCCACTAATTCCTGATTATGCCTACAGTACTTCTCAAGATTCAGTGAAAGACAGCAGCACTCCAGACAAGAAATGCCATAAAGAAGTCATTACATGTAGACTCCATTATACTGTATGTGATATTTTATATATGTCTTTGATATATTAAATGATAAAAGTGCCAGGCTTCATTATCATATTTTTATCATTTGTGTGAAGATTTCCTTGTCTGTACCCCTATTAAATTGAAGGCAAGCATTGCTGAAAGACTGAGATTGTCCCTAGTAGTAATGACCAAGGATTAAGAAAGTACTCAGAGAGAAAACAAGAATTATGAAGAGGGTCCTATAAGGCTTGAGAGAAAATTGGGCCTCTCTGAGGATGGGTTTTGAGGGGTTCAAATAATTAAATATATACTCCCTATTAAGTAAGCTTAAGATTATACCCACCACTTTATCATAACACAAATGATTAAACCCACATTGTGTGTCACACACTTTTCTAGAAACTGGTAAATACTGCTATTTTATTTGATATTCACAATAGCCTCAACTATTGTATCAATCAACTTAGTCTAGGTGATACTGAATGGAACTGAGTTGAAACTTGCAGGACCTCTCTACCTGCTTAGCAAATTTGCAGGCAGACTATGCAGGAAAGAGCACATCCAAAAGATCAGGAGAAGTCAGCAGGACTGCACACAATGGAAAAATGATAAGGAATCTGACCTCTTAACTTAATGACTAACTGAGATTATCTCCTCTTTTTCCCTTTAAAAATTGTCATGACTGTGCATAATCTTCAGAGTTGATCTCTGGACGTGAGTCCACCTTCTCCCTAAATTGCCAACTTTTCTGAAAAAGCATCTTTCTACAGACATTTGTCCCTTGATTATTGGCTTCTAAGTGGTGAGCAATTGAACCTGAGTTCAGTAACATGAAGAAGGAAAAGACCCAAAACTTAGTTACATACAACATACAATACAAAGGTTTATTTTTTATTCTACTCTAGATCTAATTCAGATCAGTGTTAGCTCTGCTCCACATTGTTTTGTTATTGTTGCTTTTCCGGAATCCAGATTAGTGTTCCGGAATGTAAGCAGAAAGAACACCTTCTGACTAGAAAACTGCAGAGAAGTGAGAGACACAGTAAATATGTGTTGGTTCTTAAACTTCTGCTCATATTTGACACAACACTTCTGCCTTTATTTTGTTGGACAAGTGAGTCAGATAGTCACTCCCAAGTTCTATAGGGAGGAGAAGCATAACCCTTTTGCAGATAAGGGGGGGGGGGGGGAAATGGAGTACATGGCCAACAGAAATACAATTGACAGTGCCCTATTCAGTTACTATATACTTGATTCCCCTGTTACATGCAATATACACCCCTTTCCCTAAGGAGACAACCTGAAAGTCCCATTTGGTCACCACTGTTAGCTCAAAATCCAGGATGTCTAGGTGATGCTCAATTTTCTTACCATAAGCCTAGGTTAGTCCTCTTATGAACAAAGAGATATTATCTTCTTTTCCTGATATATAATATAGTATCAACTGTGGAACAAAGAGAATAATTGTGATAGAGCCTGGCATGTGAAAATGTGATACTGTAAGGCACATAGAAGTAACGGGTCCATAGTAATCCCAAAACAGCACTGGGAAAATATGGGGAACTTTAAACTGGAGATGTGGAATGTTCTTGAGTGGGTCCTCATTCATTAGTTTAGTGCTTTTATTTTGGTTAGCAACCCAGTTTCTCTTGCTTCCCAGGTGGTACAGTGGTAAAGAATCTACCTGCTAAGGCAGGAGATGCAAGAGACATGGTTTCAATCACTGGGTTGGGAAGAGTCCCCTGAAGGAGGAAATGGCTCCAGTATTCTCGCCTAGAAAATTTCATGGATAGAGGATCCTGGCAGGCAGTTCATGGAGTCCCAAAATAAGACACAACTGAGTAACTGAGCATGCACACATCCACCATAGGCTATTTTTTGCTCTGGTAATAGCTGGAAAATCTCCAAAGATGACTTTATAACAATGGATATGGATTAGAATACCAAGTGGAATGCCTGGCAAATAGGATTATGATCAACCACAACTAAAATAAAGTACACTTTGTTATGATGACCACTTAAGCTTGAGAAGATGGTAGCTCAATGAAGTTGTGTGTGTTTAGTCGCTCAGCAGAGTCTGACTCTTTGTGACCCATTGGACTGTAGCCCACCAGGCTCCTCTGTCCATGGGATTTTTCAGGCAAAAATAGTGTAGTGGGTTGCTGTTTCCTACTCCAGGTGATCTTCCTAACCCAGGGATAAAACCTGAGTCTCCTGTGTTTCCTACATTGCAGATACATTCTTTACTCATTGAGCCATCAAGGAAGCCATCAATGAAGTTAACTACCTCATTCAAGGTTAGATAGCCAGAGCCAATATTCTGACCCAAATCTGCCTGACTCTAAAATTCATGTCTATTCCACTATACAATGTTTCAGCTACATGGTGAAATATCAATAGTTCTCTGGAGTCCTCTAGAGTAAACTACAAGATAGTTATGGTAACTTTTACAGTGTTAGTTGGAATTATCTAGATTTATGTTGTTACTCTTTTTTCATCTTCTAGTTTTGGGTGAAATGTCGCTTGAAGGCTTTGGCTATACCTTAGTTGTACTTTCATGGAATTTTCCATTTTTTTCACTTCCTTTTTTTTTGCCAGAGCATTAAAAAAGTACTTCATTGTGAAGGAGACTGGAAACAACAGTCAGGAGAGTTCACAAAGGTAAGGCTAGAAAAGTTTCAGAGTCAAAGATCAACTGTCCCTTCCCACCAGTGTGTTTCTGCTTTAGTGCCAACTTTGGAGATCTGCAGGTTTATTTTCACTTAGGAAGGCTGTGGTGCTGCCAGGAAGTCATCTGAAAGAAACTTATCATCTGTCATAGTTTTATCAGGGGTCAGCTCTGATAAAATTCAAAGTGTTTTTGTATTTTCACCTACTCCCTAATAAGAGAGGTTCTCTTTGACCAATTTAATCTTCAACAGAAAATTGTATCACTATTTAAGAGAGCCTCTAGCCAAACCTAATTGGTCTATGGGAAACAAATGGCAAAGTTGGATAAAGACAACCTGGATTCTTCCTGTTTGTCAGCAAGCCTGTTTTCAAACAGTAATTGGAGTAGAAGCTTCAACTGCAGCTTACACAGAGGATGATGCCAGCATGTGGCATGTGGAAAACTGAGCCAGCTTTCCCGAGATTGTTCCAATGGCTGGATGCCATCCTCCAGTTCACAGCTCACTCCTTAGCACCAGCCCTGAAGTTTTTATAGAAATTTACGCTTGCTTCTCATGTTGATTGTGTTTTCAAATCTAGAAACTCTTCCACATCATTCTTTCACTTTGAAAAAGGAACATGTCCTTAGTAAACCTAATTTTTTTAAAATTTTAACCACTTTTTTACAGTTTTGCAAGCAATACAATGCAAAATGTTCATTGCAGACAACTAGAAATACACAAAAATATAAAGTAATTAATAGCCATTCATAATTCCCAGTCTCCCATAGATATCTTTCATTAGCCTTTTGATGTATTTCTTTCTAGCATTTACATATTTTTTTACATGCTGCTGCTACTGCTGCTAAGTCGCTTCAGTCGTGTCCAACTCTGTGCGACCCCATAGACGGCAGCCCACCAGGCTTCCCCATCCCTGGGATTCTCCAGGCAAGAATACTGGAGTGGGTTGCCATTTCCTTCTCCAATGCATGAAAGTAAAAAGTGAGAGTGAAGTCGCTCAGTCATGTCCAACTCTTAGCAACCCCATGGACTGCAGCCTACCAGACTCCTCTGTCCATGGGATTTTCCAGGCAAGAGTACTGGAGTGGGTTGCCATTGCCTTCTCCGATACCAGTTTATTTATTATATGAATCAAATTTTATGTTTCATTTGTAGGTGTCTAATATTTGATTTAAAAAAAGAACACTAGAAGTTATTTTCAACCCAATTCAATTTTATAAAGCTATTCTTTTCTAAGTAATCTAAGATAATTAAAGACTTTCAAAATGTAATTGCTTCAGAAATCAATTTACCTCCCCAGAACACCATTACTGTTTGGCTTTTTGTTTTGCTTTGTTTTATAGAAGTACAGTTTATGTATAATGTTGTATTATTAATAGCTTCCAGAGTACAGCAAAGTGATTCTTTTTCAGATTCTTTTCTATTATAGGTTATTAGAAGATATTGAATATAGGTCCCTGTAATTGTTGTTTATCTACATGGGAACAGGACCAAGTCAGGAAGGAACCACTCCTGAGTCTCACATGGAAGGTTCGCTCACAAGCATCAGAGCAAGATTTTAGCTGCAGCAGATACCATGCAGGGCTCCCTGGAAGGTTGCTCCAGTGAGTCACCCTGTACCTAACAGAGAAACTTAATCATATGTGGTTGTTTGCTGCTTTGCTTGTTTTGAAACTACTTATAGACCTTCAGGCCTATGGTAATAAAAGTCTCCTATGATGCTGTTTGAGGCCAATGAGACAAATTATATTTTTGTGAGTTGTTTCATTCCTCTGTGCTGAAAAATCACCTCCAAGAGCTTACTCTATGCCTCAGAAGAAAAATAATCTCTTGTCCCAAGAAGAGAACATAAACTGATGCAAGAAAACTTGTAGAAAACTTATAACCAGAAACTTGCAATATTATTGGGGAAACAAGAAAACTTTAAAATGAAAATAAAACTACAAGAGGCCACAGAATGTAGACACTTCGACTCCATGAACCTTTCACTGGTAACAACAAATACAGCTGGAAACTGGAGTCTGGGGATAGTACCCAGAAAATCTAGAGAGGCTGGACAGCAGGGAGGAATGTGGCAGACTGACTCAGGCCTTGGCTTTTGCCTAGGCACCAAAGATATACCTGTCTAGCCTCTTCTGAGGGAGCTGAGAACACACTCACCAATGTGAAGTTCTCAATTCATGCACTTGAGCTGAACATTTTCTAGATACCAAGTTTACGACAAGTTCAATAAAGCTGAGGAAGGGGATGAAGGTATATCTGAAGGTCTAGGTCAGTAGTGTTGTTATATGCATCAGAATCACTTGGATTTTGTCTGAAACAAAGCAGGTCCCCAAACACATCCCAAATCTTCTGTTTCAACAGTCTATGGTGGCACCTGGAGTCAGCATTTTTAAGAAGCACCACAAGTGATATTGAAGTGGTCTAGCCTCAGACTTGAATAACATTCATCATAGATGTTAGAGGTGATGCTACTTTCCACCTGCACTGGAACCAAGAGAGGAAACTTGGACAAAAGTTCTAGAAAATGGAGTAGATTATTGAGCAGGAGGAGGACAAATGGTGTGACTCCAAGTTCAAAGCAAGTGGTTGGTTGAAAATTTGGAGGCAATCGTGAGACAGCTGATGGAGCAGGTACGCAGAGTATCCTGGTAGACCCCTGGATTTGACTGGTGAGGTCAACTGTATTTAAAACAGAGGGTTTAAAACATAGCCACACTGAAATCACCTAGAGATTCTAAGAACACAGTACCAGAGGTTCTGATTTAATTGAACTGGGGTATATCCTGGGTTGTTATTGTTACTTAGTCACTACATTGTGTCTGACTCTTTTGTGACCCCCATGGTCTATATAGCCCACCAGGCTCCTCTGTCCATGGAATTTCCCAGGCAAGAATACTGGAGTGGTTTGCCATTTCCTTCTCCAGGGGATCTTCCTGACCCAGGGATTGAACTTGCACCTCTTGCATTGGCAGGAAGATCATTTACCACTGAGTCACCCAGGAAGCCCGTATCTGAGTAGGGGCCTTTCCAGATCTCTTCAAATGATGCTACAGTGTAGTCAGCCTCTGGTTTAGAGGATTAGCCAAAGCATGGGCTCCAGGATTAAATAACCTTCACATCACTTCTGACACTTTAATGTGCACACAATTAAACCAGGGATATTGTCAAAATGCAGATGTTTCAGGGGGCCTGAGAGTCTTCATTTCTCACAACTCCCAGACGATGTGGATGTTCCTGGCCCAGGCTCAACACACTGAGTAGCAAGAATTGGAAAGGCCAGAATCCCTCACCCTTCTCCAGGGCTGGGAAACTTTTAGAAATTTAATTCTCAGCTTTCGCCCCAGATCTACTGAATCAGAAGCCTTGAGTGGGACACTGGGTTTAAACAAGCCCAGCATGTGGTTCTGCTCCACACTCAAGTTTAGAAACCTCTGCTCTGTTCCATGACAGAACCATCTGTCGGTGTTTGGCCTGGCTGAGCTGGGTCACAAACACTTCAGTCCCTAAATGTGACTGAACTTTCCCCAGTGGGGCATCTAGGATTTATTTATAAAGGAAAGGGTTTGCTTCTCTTTCTCCATCCTGATGATTGGAAGGTATTATTCTCATACTACCCCCACAGGGTAATGAATTCAACCCACTGCTCTTTGTTCAAGCACTGAGCTGTACAGGCTTCATGAAATGAGAGGTTGAACCCACTCTCCAGGGCCTTTTCTGCTTCTGACAGCCCGTTATCCCACCCTTCTCCAACCAGAGAGGCTGTGATGGTTTCTTTGCTTGTGTCCCTGGACTCCACTCAGCCCACCCCGGGCTGTATTGTGTCTATTATTATACATCTTTCTAAAGAAAGAACAAGAGAAGCAAAGGCGTCAGCAGGTCTAAAATGTAGGCAGCGGCCAGGCAGTTTCCTTGAAGTCAGTAACCGCTGACAGCTGAGCCCAGCTCACAGTGTGTGGAGACATAGAGAGAAGTCTCTGTGAAGCTCTGATTCCCTGCAGGGTCCTGGTTGGCAGGAAGCACCCTAAAACTCAGAAGGATGAGTGTTAGTGAGTCCATGACAAACTGCCTTTCCATTCCCAGTCTTTATTTCACAGTGTGGGCTTCCTTTCATCCAATGTTTTAAACATCTGAAAGCCTAGGATGACCCCAGCCCTGTGAAGTGGAGTGGTCAACCATCCTGGTTTGCCAGCTGTGTTCCCATGTTTAGCAGTGAAAGTCTCATAACCTGGGAAGCACCCTAGATTCTGGCAAAGAGGATGGCTGGATACCCTAGATCAGGATTTTGTTGTTGTTTTACAATGCTGTCATTATTTGCAATGTGGTCTGGATAATGCTTTCTTGTGAAAGTCTAGCCTGTGTTGTTCATCTCTGGTCTCTATCCACTTGTTGCCAGTTGGACTCCTCCTATTTGTGACGATCAAAAATGTCTCTTGAAGTTGTCAGATGTCCTTTTGGAGGGCAAAATCATCCCTATTTGAGAGTAACTGTCCTAGGTGTAAGTAAAGTCGCTCAGTCGTGTCTGACTCTTTGCAACCCCATGGACTGTATCCTACCAGGTTCCTCCGTCCATGGGATTTTCCAGGCAAGTGTACTGGAGTGGGTTGCCATTTCTTTCTCCAGAGGATCTTCCCAACCCAAGGACTGAACCCGGGTCTCCCGCATTATAGGCAGACGCTTTACCGTCTAAGCCACCAGGGAAGTCCTAGGTATAAGTGACTGTGTAATCTGAAACCTCTCCTAGGAGAGATCTTCTCAAATTTTAATGTACACAAAAATCATTTGGGGTTTGGATAGACATTTCTCCAATGAATACAGAAAATGGCCAGAAAATGCATTTAAAAATGTTCAAGCTCATCAGTATTTAGCAAAATGTAAATAAAAATCAAAATGAGATACTACTTCTCATATCCTAGGGCAACTAAAATTTAAAAAGACAATTATAAGCATTGTCAAGGGCATAGAGAAATTGAAACCCTTATACATTGCTAGCATGATTGTTAACTAGAGGAACTACTTTGGAAAATAGTTTAAAAGGTCCTAAAAATGTTAAACATAGAGATATTATATGGTTCAACAATCCTGCTTCTAGGTATGTACCCAAGAGATTGTAAAGCCCAAGTCCAGACAGCACCTGTACACAAATACTAATAACAGGATTACTTATAATAGATAATTGAAACAATCATTAAGTCCATCAACAAATGAACAGGTAAACAACTAGTATGGAATATTGTTGTTGCTCAGTCACCCAGTCATGTCTGACTCATTGTGACCCCCATGGACTGCAGCACTGTAAGCCTCTTATCCCTCACCATCTCCCGAAATTTGCCCAAGTTATGTCCATTGCATCGGTGATGCCATCCAAGCATCTCATCCTCTGATGCCTTCTTCTCCTTCTACCCTCAATCTTTCCCAGCATTTAAGACATTTCCAGTGAGTCAGCTGCTCACATCAGATGACCAAAATACTGAAGCTTCAACTTTAGCATCAGCCTTTCTAATGAGTTTTCAGGGTTGATTTCCCTTAAGATTGACTACTTTGATCTCCTTGCTCTCCAAGGGACTCTCAGGAGTCTTCTCCAGCACCACAGTTTGAAGGGATCAGTTCTTCAGCACTCCGCCTTCTCTATGGTCCAGCTCTCACAACCATATGTGACCACTGGGAAGACCATAGCTTTGAATATTATGCAACCATAAAAAAAGAATGAAGTACTTATGCATGATACAACATGATGCTTCTTTAAAATATTAATATGAGACAGAAACAAGACACAAAAGACCCCATATTGTATGATTTCATTTATATGCAATGCCTAAAATAGACAAATTCCTAGAAATAGAGTAAATCTGTAGTTTCCAAGCTCAAGGAGGGAGAGAAGAGGTGCAGTGTGTCGCTGGTAATGGATTTGAGGTTTCCTTTGAGAATTATGAAAGTGTTCTAAAATTAGATAGAGGTGAGATTTTCCCATTTCTGTGGACATACAAAAACCCACTGAATGGTACATTTTAAATGGGTGAATTGTGTGGCAGGTGAATTACCAATAAAGTTGTTATTTTAAAAGAAGAATTGCTTTATTAACTCATTAAAATGTGCATTCTGATTCACTAAGCCTGGGTTGGGACCTGACTTTCTAGAGAACACATTTTTAGAAACCAGTTCCTAGATGAGTGGTTTCTGAGTATGCTCCCTGACTGGCAGCATAAGAATCACCTGTATACTGACCAGAAACACAGATTCTCAGACTTCACCCAAACCTACTAAATCGGATGCTGCAGAGGTGGAGCCCTGCAGTGACCTACATGTGCTATCTAGGTCATTTTGATGTGTGCTAATATTTGAGAACTACTGCCCATACCATCCCCACCTGGATTCTCTTCACCTTGTATGCAAACACACTTTGAGATAAATATTTGAATTTTTATTAAGAAAAAGCAAATTCCTTGAGTAAATCATTAAGTTTAGTAAAGTTTAGTAAATCATATTACTTTAAAGAAATAACCTTCATAACTGAAGAAACCTTAATATAAAGATATTTTATCCTTACAATTTGGGGATCCCAGATTGGCCCCATAATTTTTTGTTCTACTGTATAGTATAAGACTCTATTGAAAATTACAACTTCCTTGTTTCAAATTTGCTAAATGAGAAAGCATATTTGACTTCCTCTTTGCATAGTGGTATG